TACCACCAAAATCACCAATTGTTTGTAGCATAGATCCTGTAGCACATAATCGTAATACCAGCAGTAACTGTTGCATTGATGTTAATGCGTGATTCCTATAAAAGGTATGTTTTACGTTATCAACATATTGGTTGATTATAGGATTAGGTATTTACTAACCTTTCTGTATTTGGGGCGATATTGTCCCTTATTCTTTACTCCAACATAATTACGGTGTTTTTGCTAAGACGAAATCTTAATCTGAATTCATCTTCATTCCATCTGGTAAAGAGATCAACACGGGCTCTAAAATTTCTAGCAGTTCTAAAAATTCTGTTTTGTAACCTTCCTGCTAATTCATCTTCTGATGTATCAGACGAAGATTCGCTATCACTACTATCTCTCCACAGTAATTGTTCGTTTTCTGAAGACGACGATGATGACATTTTCCAGTAATGCAAAGAAAAATCAAAGAAAATACACAAATCACTCCCGACTTAACCTCAAAATGTACGACTCAACCGGTAGTTAGCATTTCAAACGAAACCCAATCCTCCGGTTGACTGAAACGTCACTGAACCGACAGTTCAACTTTCGGTTATCGTTTATAATACCGAAACTATCAGTTAACCTCCGGTTCAAATTCAGCCTCCGGTGAACCGTACATTATAATACCGGGCCTAAGTGTCATTTATGAGTTGAGAATCTCGCCGCTAGATGAGCCGACGGTATATCGTTAGATCGAGACAAGCCCCATTCACATGGCAAGTGTGGGGGTCGCTCATGGGGGACACAGATCTTATCGTATATAGCAAGACGTGTCCTAAAAAATGGCGCTAGCCCCACTTGTCGCAGGGACATACACACACACAACATTACAAATAGTGACAGCACACCGCTCAACATATCGATTATACTGTTAAGCATCATATTAGTCATAAATATATTTACGATTTTTAAACGAGGCATAATCTAAAGGATATATCTGGAGTTTCCGGACAAACGATGTATTCATGGATTACTAAGAAATTATATGCAAAATACCTCAACCGCAACGAACGTTTAAAGTGTTTTGTTTTTCGATAATATTGTGTTATAATTATCTCATGCACTTGCGTCATATCGGTCATGGTGTTTATATTGAACGAGCGCATGCAGTAGGTATCATTCTTTCACATTCAACGCTACAACAACAACCACAGTACAAAAGTATTACAAGAGAGAGGACAGAAGTAAAAGTAAGTAAGTGTGCTATTTTATTTAATATTTTTCCTTTTTATGTCTCTAAGTGCAACTATGTGTTTTTTTAAAGTATTCGTGTAAGATAATGAATGTTTCTGGCCTCCATTTTTGTTTAGTACGTTTATTTCGTTTTATGCTTCAAAGTAGTAAAAGACGACTCAATTTTGTTATAGATGGATTTGGCTAAAATTAATGCGGCATCTTTGATTGCAGACCGTAAAGCAGTACGAAAATTAAAGGACCTACCAGTTGGAACAACTTTTGCGATACACTCAGCAAAAGTGGTGAATTCAAAATTTGGAGATTTAGGTCCTGACGTCCTAATTCTACCTCTAAGAGTGACTGAAGTATACCGACCGGCCATTAATGAACTGTGTAACGGAAAATACGGTATAATCTTCCAAGGTGAAGTGGAGATAGGAAAAAGCCGATACCCTAGCGTCATTCGGAATAGTAAAAAATTAACGAGCAGGGTGAGCAATTTTTTATATATTTTTGCGTAATTTGTATGCTTAAGGTGTTCTTTTTTTTAAATAAAATGTCTTTTCGCATGTCTTCAAATAGGGTTAAAAATATCATCAAACAAACAGACGGTGTTCTACTATCAATTATTAGTTTACGAAAAATTTTATTTGATAATTTTACAATAAGAGACGTGGAAGTGTGGCTAAACGAATAGAAAAACAAATTAGATTATGTAACAGAGTAATTCGTAGTAGGAAACAAAATAAATTATCTGTAGGGACTTGTAGAAAAAGAAACAAACTTGGGACATTTTAAACATTTTAGAAAGTTGATTTTAACTAGACATATTGGCAGGAGGTGACTTCACTTAACATTGGGTCAGAGGGTTAGATGGGCAATGTAGAATCAAGCCTTCAAAGAATAACAACCGGTTCTATAGCTAATTTACGTCATAAGGACTTGAATCAATTTTTAGCAGATTGTGCAGTTGTTTTTAAAAGGAAAATTAGTAATATTTTAAAACCCATCCTGCGCTCAAAGTAAATACAACATTTTGCGGAGTTTACTAGGAAATCGTCGTCGGAGGATAATGAAATTTTGGGAATTAACTACCTATTTTAATACTAAAAATCATATTATTGCTGTGTCAACTCAAATAGACGAGTGGTTTAAGATATATGTAAAGAGAATCTTTTAAATTAATTAACGGAATTTGCCGAAAAAGATTCGGGATTTGCGTTAAATAAAATTATTTATTTGCCTGTTAATATCAATAAATATCATTGGAAACGCTTCACTTATATTAGACTACAGAACCGATTATAAAAGACAAGCTTGTATAAACATTAAATAGAGATCAAAATTGCTTTACTGGGCCATTGTAAGCGCTCTTCGGGCTCCTAGCAATAAAGACATACAGAACTATCCTCCTCATATCCATACATTACTGACGTTTTACAAACAGAAAATTTAGATAGTCCTGTGCCGCTATCAAAATTTCAAAATTTGAAAAGCTGAATAATATTTCAGTCAATGTTCACGCTTTAGAATTACGAAACAGAAAAAAGCATTTTACACGGTAGTACCAGCAAGATTACGGATAAAAACGGGACACGCATGTTAATTTACTTTTAGTCAAAATAAATATTATCCGCGTTTAAATGATTATGATGCCCCCCCAGCGCCACTAGCGGATGAAGATAATGATTCATCGATGAGATTAAATATCACTATTGTGGATTAAAATGCTTCGCGTCTTATTAGTTAAATAAAGTCATAATAAAAATTTATTTGCGATAGATGTCTGAACTATTTTCAGCAGCAAACAAATTAGTTGAACATGAAAAACTGTGTTCTAAATTTAAAATATAAAATTAACCTTCCTAAAGAGAGCTGCGTTGAATTTAAAAACTTTACATACCAACAAAATACTCCTTTTGTTGTTTATGCAGATTTGAATGTCAATTAAAAATCATAAAGAAAGTAGCGTCGTAAATTTAACTAAAACCATAAAATATCAAAAACACGTTCCGTATAGTGCTGGTTTCTATGTAAAATGCAGCTATGATGATAGCCTTTCTTATTTCGAGAGCTATCGAGGTGCAGATTGTATGGATTGGTTTGCAAATCGTATGGCTGGTGTTGCGCAATTTGTAAACTCAAAAATAAAAACAATCGTACCTGTGATTGAAAAATTAGACACATGTAAGGCAACATCATGTCATATTTGCGGTAAGAGATTTTCAAAAACAAAAAAAGACAATCGTTAGAGATCACAACCATTTCAGTGGAGAGTTCAGAGGTTACGCACACCAAGCATGCAATCTGAACTTTAGAAAATTGTTTGTTGTGCCGGTTATATTCCATAATTAAGTGGGTACGATAGTCACTTTATGATTTCGAATTTATGTAAAAAAGGTCGCTTAAGTCTACTTCCCATCAACAAAGATAAATACATCTCCTTTACGCTGCACTCAGATGAAAATAACATTAAATTGCGGTTTATAGACTCTTTTCGATTTATGGGGGCTTCTCTTGATGAATTAGCTTCAATTTTAGCAGAATCAGAAAAGAAAATTTACAGGGAATTTCAAAATTTAGATGAAGATAAATTCAAATTATTAACACAAAAGGAGTTTTCTGTTACGATTACATTGATTCTTGGAAAAAAACTAATGAAACGACTTTGCCCCCAATTGAAAAATTTTTCCATAAATTAAACGATAAAAGTATAAGTGACGAGTAGTATGCTCATGCGCAATCTGTTTGGCGACAGTTTAACATTGAAACATTATGGGTTCGCGATGCAGCAACCTTTACCCTACGGAGGGTTCAAATGGGTGGATGTAACATCGTTTGATGTGACGTCAATACCCGACGACTCTGACGTAGGGTACGTGCTACAAGTCGATCTATCGTACCCACAAGAACTGCACGATAACCACAAAGATTTTCCGTTTGCGGCAGTACGTAGCATACCACCCAGCGGCGGCGGCGGCGAGATAAAATTACAGAAATTAATGACAACACTTACGGATAAAAAAGTGTACACGGTTCACTATAAAAATTTAAAACAAATGCTAGTTAATGGATTAAAGTTAACGAAAATTCATAAAATTTTACAATTTAACCCTAGAGTACGGGACATTCGTAAAATTTACGATCGACAATATTCGTCGTGGGTTTTCGTTCATTTTCGGTTAGCGTATCGGAAATTAGACTCTCGATACCTTCCTATTTAGTTTTCGGCTAGACTTCGGTGTACGTAACATCGTGTATTTGTCAAGCGTAACGGAGATTTTGCACTTCCGTCGTAAATTTTACGATAGTCCCGTGTCACTGTTTGCTATTTTCGCGCAAGCTGATTTTTATTCTATTCTTTGAAAAGCGGTTTTGCTGACATTTATTTGTGAGGTAAGGTGTTTTCTATTTTTCATACTTATAGCGTTCTGAGTACATGTCTTTCCAGCGAAATGACTTCAAAACGGTCCTTATCTCAGGCAGAATTGGAAGAAGAAGTGAGAAAAATTATGGAGGGAGGAGACAGTGATCCAGATCCATTTGAGGATAGTGGCAGTGATTGGGAAGAAGATAATATTGAAGTAGAATCGATGAAGGGATCAGATGATTCAAATGATGAATTCTATTTGGACGAGAATGTTCCTGTAAATGAACAAGAAACGACTACTTCGGCAGAGAAAAGAATGATGACGGCCATGTGAACTCCGACGATCCCGTACATTAACCTCAACTTGAACCTTGTAAAACAAATCACTTTCTAGTTAAACCCAATATTTTGAGTTTGAAAGGAAAGAATGGTCAGAGATGGACATCAACACAGCCCAGCAGAACTAAATGAACTGCTTCAAGAAACCTCATCCATTTTGTGGCAGGCCCGAAAGGTGAAGCGAAGGAGTATGTGACACTGGAAGAATATTTTTTACATTTCTTCTCTGATCCTATTCTTGATATAATATTACTAATGAAGAAATTGTACGACAAAGGCAAAATTGCACGGGTAACAACAATGTGTCACCTACCACTAAAGAAGAACTACAGGCGCTGTTTGCAATTTTGATACTCTCGGCTGCCAAGAAAGACAACCATCTATCTGCCAGACATATGTTTGATACGAAGATTTCTGGTTCCTTCTATAGAGCCTGCATGAACTGTGACAGATTTATGTTCTTACTGAACTGTCTCAGATTTGATTCAAGAGAAACAAGACAGGAAAGAAAAATTAATGATCCTTTCACCCATATGCGTGAGTTATGGGATATTTTCATTGAAACTTGCAGATCATCATATACACCATCTTCTTACCTCACTATAGACGAACAGCTTTTGGGATTTCGTGGACGATGTCCATTCCGCATGTACATACCGAATAAACCTTCAAAGTATGGTATAAAAATTGTCATGCTATGTGACAACTCAACATGCTATATGGTTGATGCTAGTCCATATATAGGAAAAAGTACCAGAACGAATGGTTTGCCGCTTGCTACCTACTTTGTAAAGGAGCTTACAAAATCTGTCCATGGAAGTAACAGGAATATTACCATGGACAAGTGGTTCACGTCCGTCAGTTTGGCAGATGAACTACTCCAAGATCCTTACAAACTGACAATAATTGGAACACTAAGAAAAAATAAAAGGGAAATTCCTCCCGAACTGCTTGACATAAGGCAGCGAAACGTAAATACATCAATGTTCTGTTTTGATCAAGAAAAAGTATTACTTTCGTATGTGCCTAGGAAGCAGAAATTAGTACTGCTATTGTCTACAATGCATGAGGGTGCTGAAATTTCAAAACAAACAGGAAAACCAGCAATTGTTCAGAACTACAATGAAACTAAAGGGGGTGTCGACACATTCGACCAAATGTGTTCCAACATGAGCTGCAGTAGGAAAACTAGAAGATGGCCCCTGTGTGTGCTATATGGTATGGTGAATATAGCCAGCATCAACTCCTTTGCGATTTATACTTTTAATGCTTTATCAAGAGGAGAGAAACCCCTTTCACGTTACCAGTACATGATAGATTTAAGAGTCGTCGCCTTGCTGAGCCATGGATGAGACATAGATTATCGACTCCTACGTTGCGTCGAAATATAAGTCAAGATATTGCCCTTCTCTCAATATTCGAAAAGATACACACCTGAAATCCCTCTAGAAAAAAAGCGTAAAACGTGCTTTTTTTGCCCTTCTCAAAAGAGACGGATGACAACGACGTATTGTGGACAGTGTGGACATCCGATCTGTGGTGAGCATCGAGGAAATGTATGCAAGGAATGTAGTGTCAAATATATATATTGACTTTTTATTGATATTTGTTCTTGCATTTTATTGTAAAGTCCTTAGAAATATATCTTTTATTTTCATGAGTTTTTTCATAAGAATTTTATTGTACAATGCAAGTTTTATATTATCTTCGTATATTTTACGATAGTCCCGTATTAAAGTATTTTGAAACAAGTCCCGTAATCTAGGGTTAAACAAACAGTCTGGCTGAAGCCCTACATCGAGCTGAATACTCGATGTAGGGCTGCAGCCAGAAATCATTTTGAAAAAAATCTTTTTAAATTAATGAATAACGCTGTATCGGGTAAGACTATGGAAAATATACGAAAGCACCGTATATGTAAATCGTTAAATCTTGGGGTGGCCGCTATGGCGCAGCATACTTGATTTCGAGTTTTCGGTTCCACAGTCGCACAATTTTAGAGGAAAATCTGGTGGTTATCGAATTGAAAAAGACTGAAATAACGTTTAACAAACCTCTGTATGTAGGACAGACAATTCTAGACCTATCGAAGGTGGTCATGTATGATTTCCATTACGCCTATATGTTACGAAAAATGGGAACAGATAGGTGTAAGCTAATGTATATGGACACTGATAGTTTCGTCTACGAGTTGCAGTGTGAGAATGCATATGAGGAGATAATTAAAGCTGAATCCAGTAAATTTGATACTTCGGATTATACTGAAAATAATATATATAAAATACTGCTTAAGAACAAAAAGGTTCCGGGTCTAATGAAAGATGAAAATAACGGCAAAATTATGACACATTTTGTTGGGCTTCGAAACAAAATGTATAGCTACAAGTTGCAGGATGGGAAGGTGGTTAAAAAATCTAAGGGGGTTGAAGACAATGTTGTTAAAAATAAAATACATTTGAGGATTATGTTGAATGTTTGAAAAAAATTAAGGAAAAAACATTCGGGTCGTATGCACACATTCTGTTGAACAGGCAAAAATTACTTTAAGTCCGTATGACGATAAACGAATAACATCATCAGCAGCAGAATTCATGAACAGTCTCCTCCCCTACCATGGAAATTAACTAGGGAAATAGTGAAACAATTTCCTTTATATAGATGGCGTGCTATGATAAAAGAAGCCAAAAATGATCCTGATCCTTCATATACAGACATTAACTTTATTACATGTCACAAAGAAATAAGTTTAAATTCATACTATATTAGGAAAATCAGAATGGGGTTATGTTTTTGAACATTATTCTAGTTACTGTGTATGGATAAGTGGATGTTGGCTTGAACAATATGGTCCGAACGTATGTAAAACGTATTTGTCTAAACTTAGATAAAACATAAAACTTTAAATAAACATTTATTTGTCTGGTATGATCATTCTCACCAGGTTTACGTTGCCTGATGATGTTATTTGAACGTATATCAACAAAAGTATAATTGGTGTCACGCTGCTTTAAAAGCGTATTATTTAAGTTAAAAGACCAGGAATCTTGCAGCGATGCCTTACATATGTCTAGAATCATAACATCCGAACCCCATTTGATAAATCCGATTAGATAGCGATATTGACTAAAGAAAAAACATACAGCAAACAAAAATTACAAAAAATAAATAAATAATTTGTTCGTCCCCATTTCTGTAAAAAACGAAAATGTTGTACTAACAGTTATATATATAGTATTTTTAAACATGTATGTAATTAGAATTAATAAATGAATATTTTAAAAGCTCTTCTGGTTTTTAATTGATTTCGGTTAGCGTTAAGATTTTTTATGTAAGAGAGTTCAATATGTATTTTTGAGCAAAGTATGCACACGTCATGTGCGTCACGTAATAAATAAAACGAGACAGATATACACATTTTTACAAAAAAACATTATTAATTAGGATTCAAGATCATTAGCGATCCTATGTCCATCGAAAAATAAAGTTGCCCTAGCGCTATATGTTGTAAATGTATACAATTTTTGAACAGCATCTGAAAACGTATAATTTTGATCATTAAAACTAGCGCGAACAGTCTTCAGCACATTATAATAATGTTTGTAAATTCAAACAGTTTATAGCAGACACATATACGGCACTAAAGTTCGTTATTTGCTTCTAAAAGAGCGTCACTTCCATGCCTGAGAGGTAAAACCTAATCTTGTGCTTGGTTATTTTGAGGATTTTCGTGCTATCATAGATAAGTCGTCGAATTCTGCAATAGGTCCACGCACTGGATTTCGACAGGATCATACTTGTCAGGAAGATCCTCTCCTCCTTCTCCACCGTTACCACCAACAACGTTTTCATTGAGTTGGGTGATAATTGTTCCCACTCATAGGAAACTGAAAGATATTTTCTACCATGTTGATGAGTTCCACACAATTACAGCAGGAGTAAATATCTCGCTGGACTTAGACCGGATCCAATTTGGTATGATCCATTTGAAAACTGTGTGTACAGCAGATAATGGATCTCGTTCTTGGCTGCTTCTTCGTACCTCTCCAGAATCGCATCCAATTCACGATCGTAGTCTCCACCACCACCTCCACCACCACCATCAGATAGTTCGGATGGTAATGACGGTGACGTCAAACTGGCTGCAACTTGAACCACTGGTATACATTGTTACTAGCTGACTGACTGACTAACTGTTTGCGACCGACTGAGAACTCACTTTTAGCAGAAAAATACGTCGTCGTCGTTGCCGCCGCTTCCCCTATACACCTAGACGGCCGCATCATTCAATCCAACTATTATGTTTTGTATCAAGGCCAAGCCTTTACGACGTAAAACTTTTTCATCTAAATAAACATCTGGATTGGCTGTTTTCTGTAATTCTTCATCGTAAAAGGCTCCATTGATCAGTGCACCTTGCATATCTTCGAGCATGTACGTTGCAGGGTTGGTAATATTAATTTTAGTAACTTTAAATAATTCCGTTGTCCAACTTGGAACGTATCCCGTGTCGAATAGCATTTTGGTTTTGATACATACAATGTCGCCAACTTTACATGTACGCGGGCCTGCGATTTTTAAAAAGAGAGAGGTTTCAATTTAAGATACTTTTTTCGTTGGATCATTAATTTGTGACGGTTTACATCCGATGCTTCGATGACGTGTTTCATTCATTGGTAATGCTGGTGTAATATATCAATCCATTTATACGATCCCATTAAGCTAAAGTATTTGTAAGTTTATTCTTCAACGTTCTTATGGCTCTTTCAGCAAAGGCAGCTTTTCTTGATGATATATCTACTATAATGATTAATATCATGTTTCTTTATTAAAGTTTGAAATTGCTATTGTAAATTCTTTTACCTTGATCAGAATTGTAGATTTTCCGGTGTACGTTTCGTATGTGTGAGGATATCCGAAAACGCACGAGTTATCTCCTCAGCCGTTGTTGTCTTTAACGGTCTAGTCCACATAAACTTGAAAAAAAGAATCGATTACAATGAGAAATAATTTGAAATTTTTTATTTTGATGAGTTTAGGGTCGTATTTCAGTCAAGTCCGTCTGCCATAAATTGTATAAACCTTTAATGATGGTTCGTCGTCTCGGATAATTTTTTCGAGGCAGGCTTCTGCAGCTCGTTAACTAGTTGTATCTTCTTCTTGGCGTACGTCATGTTC